AGCCTTGACCTGCTGGGCTCCAGCGATCCTTCCACCTCAGCCTTCCAGGTAGCTGGAACTACAGGCACGCGCTACCGTGCCCGGCTAGTTTTTGATTTATTGTAGAGATGAGGTCTCGCCAAGTTACCCAGGTGGGTCTCGAACCCACGAATTCAGGCAATCCACTCACCTCAGCCTTCCAAGGCACGGTATTACAGGCTGAGCCACTGAGCCTGGCTGCTTTTTTTTTTTTAAACCAGGATCTATTGAGAGGACAGAAAAGCTCCCACAGTGGGAGCAGACCCAAAGGAGTTGCCCAAATTTTTGCTTTTCAGGCAGATTTTTAAGGATTAGAAGATGGGAGATTATACTTTTAGAATTTCTATATTCTTCCCTGGAGAATATTTTCTCTGATCTTGATTTTTTAAGTTGACATTTATCTTCAATTGAATTATCATACTTGTATTTTGTATAAAGTCATGGTACATTTTTAGGTTAAAATAATTAAATTAATATTATTATTATTTTTCCATTGCAGGCAAAGTTTACAAGGAAGAAACACAAAAGTTGCAGTGGTTCTGATTCAGAAGAAAACTCCTTTGCCTCCAGGTATCAAAAAGCAAATTGTTAGTTGCTTTTTAGTCCCAATTCTTATTACAGGGAGGTAGATTTTTCTTTAAGGTTGAAATCTTTTATGCATTCAGTTATGGGGCTGGTAGTGTGTTAACTTTTAAAAATGTCAATAGTAAATGAATAAATGCTTACTGTAAGAAATAAAATTAGTAAAGAATGTAAATCTTCTCAAGTGGAACCATTGGTTCTACTTACTTCCCCGTGAGGGGAAATGGGGAGTATGTTTAATTGACAAAATGGTTAATTCACTTGATTTTTAAAAATAATGAATAATTTACTTGTCAGAGATCTATTTGAAATTATATTCCTTATGTAATTTATTTCTTAATTTGCTATAGGGTAAAGAAAAATTCTATAGGATTTATAATTTTCTCTAGGAAAATGTCTTAGTTTCAAATACTTAGTTCTTCTACTCTTCAGACTTTCATAGATCAAAATATATTTTTGTTTCTATATTGAAACTTGTATCATTTTAAATGGTTTTGGAAACCTCTTTTATGAATTATGGTTTCCATTTTTAGTTAAATGTTTTGAAGTTGGTTTGTGGTATATCTGTTGCATTACCTGGCCATCTATTGTGGCTCAGTAGAAAATTCCAGAATGTTTTCTTAAAAGGTATATAATACACTGTGTAACTTTTGAGAACTCCACAGAGCTTTTTAGGAGTCCTATCGGCATGGTGAAAAGTATTTTGTGTTTCTATTCTTACTTATATTTTTCAGATCTGGGGAAGTATTTATCTAGAAACATACATTAATTGTTTTATTTTTCTCCTTTGTTTGGGGTGTTATCAACAGGAGAAGATGTCATTGCTTCAGAAAGGGCTGCAGCTTTATGTAATGCATGTGAACTCTCAGGAAAGTCTTTGTTTGTACTGCCCCACACTGACCACCTTGTGGGTTATATTATAAGGTAAATAAAGATCTTTTAAAAGGTTTTTTTAAAGATTATTTGTTCGAAATTGGTAACTTAGACCCATTTATTTACAAAAGAAAAAGTATGTTCATGGGAAAAATTCAAATGGTACAGAGGATATAGTGTAAAAATAAAAGTCTATTATGTCAACTTCTTAACCCTCTCCAATTTCCTGAGGTAATCACTTTCAGCAATTGCTTGAGTTTCCTTTCCAAAAGTGTCTTTTTATGTAGGAACAGGTATATGTGTATCTTTATAGTATATGCACACATACCAAAACACACAAAAATAAATGTAATCATATAATACACAATAATCTTCCACTTAGCATTACCTCACCTTTCCTTATTTACATCTGGCTGAACCTCATTTTTTAAAATGTTTGTTTTTCCATTGTACTTTCCAGAATCACCACATATCCTTGTGTGGCATATGTGTACTTTTATATGAGAGTGTTTGCATTTGTGGCCTCTTTTTTTGCTTCATTCTTGATATGTTGATGTATCTACTTAAATAATTTTTTAAGAAGGGTCCAAACCCCATCATGTCTTAAATATCTTTATAAAGCCTTCATATATATATATAGGCAGATTACCTGAGAACACATCATTACCTTAAAAATTATGTAGCTGTTATTCATTACTTTCTGGCATTTAGTATTGCAAAGAAGTTTTATAGTATAGAAGTATTTGCTAAGATGTGTATAGATACGAATATTTTCACTGATTTTGACTATAAAATGGTTTTCCTTTTCATTCTGCATAAATATCCTTTGTAAACTCAAGAATACTTTAGTTTATCTTTTATTGCTTCTCTTGCATTTTTTTCTTTTCTCTTTCTCAGAAGCGAACTTCTGAAAATAATCCACTCCAGGAGGCTATCTGACATTCTCATTGGTATATAAATGACCCGACTTCTAAGAAAGAGAAGAATAAATTTAGAAGGAGAGAGCATGCATAGGAACAGGATCAAATTAAAAACTGAATTGCAGGAAAAGTGATTGTAAAATCAGTCTCCACACTAAAAGCAATAGATAGCAGAAGTGATACCATAGAAAGTCAGGATAACATGGCTAAGGATAACATTGAGATAACTGCCCAAAGTGTGAGGAAAAAAATAATGAATTTTGTTTTTTTGTTTTTTAAATGCACACCTATGACCAATAGGAAAAACAGAAGAGAGGGACAATGTAGAGACAACTGTGGCACACGTAGACTGCTTTTCTTTCCACTAAGGCTCCTCCCATCCCTGTAGCTGGCCTTCGATTCCCTCTCCAGGCTTGGCCTTGGACTTCCACCTTGCACTCTGCACTCCAGTACCTCTCTATTCACGATGCTGTCTCTGTCAGTATGCTTCTATACTGGCACCTGCCAACCCGGGCCAGCTCCCCTTTTCTTGGCTCTGTCATACTCAACTTCTAAGGCTCTAAAACTCATGTGAAGCCTTTAAGAAATCTGTTGTCCTCTACCATGTACCGTAACCCAGTGACTCAACCGAAGCAGTATTGACCACCACAGAATATTTGATAGTTCCTGGAGACTTTTATGATCGCCACGACTGAGGAGTTTGCTACCTTGGCATCTAGTGGGTAGAGGCTGGAGGTGTTGCTACACATCCTGTAGAGTGCAGGACAGCCTTGCACAACAGAGATGTACTTGGCTTACGTGTCTGTCGTGCTGAGTTTGAGAACCCTGCCTTAGCTGTTAGGGATCATGTAGTGTGCTGTTATGGATACAAGAAAATAGAAGATGTGACTTCTGCCTTTAACCGCTGATGGTTTTATTTGGGATAATGAAACATTTCAATAAGGAGTACGCTGTCAAAGTGACTGATGTCAAAAGCAAATGCCCTGTGTTTATGGCCTCCAAAATGTAACTGTGTGGGCAGAGCATGTGTAAGACAGTCCACTAGTGATAAGAGAAGACTTAGGCTCTTGTTCATATTTATATTTCATCTTAAGAGGGAGAATAAAGCGGAATATCAGGAGTTCTTCATCTTCACTGACCAGGAGGGAGGTAGCAGAGTCACTGTTAGCACTCTCATGCTTTCATGTGTCTGCAGAGTATTTGACTGTATTGAGTATGCGTGTTTTAAGTGTCAAAATGGTAGACTGTGTATAAAACTTCTGTAATGTGTTAGGAAGGGTTTTGAAAATCTTTTGTTTTACAGAGGTTTTACACTTTTGTTTTACACTGATCATTTCAAAGCAAAATACTTAAAACAGAATTAAGTGTTAGAGTTAGAGATGAGTCAAGCATTTTTCTTTTATAAGAAGATAAGTGTTCCAGATTTTCAAACCTTTCCTCTTAGAACAATGGGCTTCAGTGTCATGCTAACTTGCATATGCTAACCACAAAAAGAGGTGACATTTAATAGAAAAGCACATATTTTGCAGAAGACAGTTGTCCTGTAAAGAAAACATGCTGAAAATGGCTCTTGGAAAATATTGGGAGTGATTTTCTAACTAGTTTAAAACGATTTCAAACAAAGAGGTGTTTTTTTCTTTGAGTTGGAGTCTCACTCTGTCACCCAGACTGGAGTGCAGTGGCCGCTCCCGGCCACCGCACCCTCGACCTGCTGGGCTCCAGCGATCCTTCCGCCTCAGCCTTCCAAGTAGCTGGAACTACAGGTGCGCGCTACCACGCCCGGCTCATTTTTTTATTTATTGTAGAGATGAGATCTCACCAAGTTGCCCAGGTGGCTCTCAAACCTGCGGGCTCAGGCAGTCCACTCACCTCAGCCTCCTGAGGACGGGATTACAGGCTGAGCCACCAAGCCCCACTCAAACAAAGAGTTTTAATGGGTTTGAACTCAATTGTTAAAAATACAAAACAGCGTATGCAAATATACTGATCCATGTTGTTAGTTTTTGGATCTCTGATCGTTTCCTTTCCATAAATTAAAAATTGGGATTGCTATAAGTATTTGGATGGTTCGGACAATACTGAAGCAATGCTTGACTCTCTCGGCCCCCTTTGCTGAAACATTTTAGGGGAAAAGGAAAAAAGGGACCTAAGACTTACATGCTTGCCACTCCAGCTCTTCTTACTCCCTTTATCTTCAGCCTTTAGCACAGGATCTACCTTCGACACTACCTCCTTTAAGTATACAATAGTTCCTCCTTTTGTTCTCCAAAGTTGTGTGGCTATTTTGCCTATTACATATGTTCCAAAATTCTGGAATGCCTCTTTCCTTTTAGACTGACGTCTACATTTATAATTTGAAAGCTTGAATGTTCTTCATCTAAAAACTGCTAACTCTGTTTCCTGCAGTGAGTGCTAGTTTTTCAACGTTCAGTTGCAGTGACTAAACATGTTTGTTTACTCTGAAACGTATGCTTGATTAACATGCTAGTGCAGTGGTAGCAGAAAATGGGCTTTTGTGATCTTCGTATGAATTTTGCCAAGAGTAAATATCACATTTCTTCTGATAAATACCTAGACTAGGAAGCTGCTTGTAACTACAATTTTAGCCTCAATTATCTGGAAGGGTAAATTATATTTTGAGACAGGTCAAATAGTAAAATAAAGATAACTGTGTGTGTATTTATGTGTGTGAGTATGTGTGTATCTTGTCTGGTTCAAAACAATTTTATTAGCTTCCTATCTTCATGAAGGAACTAATGTAATTGTTGAGACCGAAAACATTTGTGTTAAATACCACAGAGCATTGCTAGTGTAACTGTAATATAGTTAGTAAGTTTTACAGGATTTCAGAGAACAAATGCATAGATGTGGGCTGGGAACACTTTAAGAAAGTGGGCAGCTTGCAACTATCCTTGAAGGTTTAGACTAGTGGGAAGTAAGTAGTGGTTATTTGGGGCAAAGGAATATCATAAAAAATTATGGACTTTAAAAATTAAGTTAGTTTAAATCACTAAATGAGAAGGCCGAATTAGTTGACTTTTTTTATTGTAAAACAAAGAAAATTCAAGGTCTTTTTCCCTAGTGAACATCCTTAATTGTTTGATACTAACTCAGAAGTATAATTTTTTAACATCTGCTAAAAGAATTGGTCTTTTCACTAACCTTCTCACATCTTGACTTGTCATTTTTTTAATTCATGTTTTTGATTACTCTTTTTCTCAATAAAAATGTATGAATTAAAAAGTGAAAGCCTTGCAACACTTGTCCTGTATCCAGGGATATCTCTATAACCTGTTATATTTAAAAGGAGGGAGGATTTGAGATCATATCACCAAGTTTAGAGGAATTAATAGGACTTACCAGGCCTACTTGCTCTCAATTTTCTGTACTGGTTAACAGGTGTTTTATCTCTGAGTACACATCCTACTAGAAAATGAAAACCAAGCTTACTTTTAATAGTTATTCAGATAATCTAGATTAATAATACTGAATCTCTGTTGAGAAGAATTTTTTTTTAATCTTTCAGAACAACCTGTAGACATATTTCTGGCTACCTTATAATATCTAATCATTGTTACTCATTTGTAAAACTTTAAAGGACAAGTTAGGTTAATATATTCCTTCAAACATTATTTGGTTAAAGTTTAAAATCTAATTTTAATTATCTTCATATTTTACATTTTTTAAATTATATTTTTGAAAATAGAAAAATCTTAACCTAGAAAATTCCATTAAAAATACAGTATCTAGGCGAGGCACAGTGACTTATGCCTGTAATCCCAGTGCTTTGGAAGACTAAGACTAAGTAGAATTGCTTGAAGCCAGGAGTTCAAGACCAGCTTGGACAACATAGCAAGACCCTCTCTCTACCAAAAAAAAAACAAGCAAATATAGGTGGGCATGGTGGCAAACCTCTATAGTCCCTGCAGTGCAGGAAGTAGAGGTGGGAGGATCGCTTGAGCCCAGAAGTTGGAGGCTACAGTGAGCTCTGATTGTGCCATGACATTCCATCCTAGACAACAGAGTGAGACCTTGTTTCTAAAAATAAAATTAAAATTAAATAAAATACTTGATTTTTAAATTTTTTACTTATTCATTCTGTTTTGTTTCCTTTTTTTTTTCTTTACATATTTTCCTTATGTGCATTTAAACCCTTTGAATATAAATTCAAAATTCTGTTTTATTCTGAGGTTGAAAAACCTTGAAATTCATCATTTATCTGGCAATGACTTGTGCTTGCTTTCCTACCCTAGGCAGATACTCCTGATGTGCACTTCTTTTCACTAAAGAAAGTTTAAGTTGTTTATCACTCTTCAGATTGTCTTTGTTCCTATGAGATCTTATAGAATGAAGCAGGATTTAAATCATACAAATATTATTTTCATCTCATGTGCTAGTTCAGTTTTTGGTTCTTTCCCCATTTGTTTTCTTATCCTTTTAAACCATAACTATTAAAATCCCCAAAATAAGTGAAATCTAATTAAGTATTGAATACTTGTTTTTTTCAGTCTTTGTATAAAAGTATAAAATAGTGGGGGCAAAAGTACTTTGAAAGATTACTGAATTTTAGCCGGGCTCAGTGGCTCAGCCTGTAATCCCGTGCCTTGGGAGACTGAGGTGAGTGGATGGCTTGAGCCCGCGAGTTCAAGACCCGCCTGGGCAACTTGGTGAGACCTCATCTCTACAATAAATAAAAAAATTAGCAGGGCGTGGTAGTGCGCACCTGTAGTTCCAGCTACTCAGAAGGCTGAGGTGAGGGATCGCCGGAGCCCAGCAGGGCGAGGCTGCGGTGGCCGGGAGCGGCCACTGCACTCCAGTCTGGGCGACAGAGTGAGACTCCAACTCAAAAAAAATAAAAATAAGAAAATGAGATACTGTCAATTTCTCATTTGAATGAAACTAAGCATCTGATCTACCATCTGATTATATTTGTGTGGGCATACTGATGCCCTCAGCCAGGGGGAAGGCTTGGTGGGACTGAGGAAGCTAGAGCCCTGGGTTATTCACCTTGGGCCACAAGCACCATTGTTCATTTGCCCCTACCTGCTAAAAATCCTATTTTCTGTGATTGCTATGATGCAAAAGGAGCAGGGAGATTTATTAAACCTTTATGTAGAAGCCATGGTAGCAAATAAGGTGAAGTTTCTTCTGACTTTACTAAGTTATCTTACTAATATTTATGCCTTTCAGAAAACAGAGGTGCCAATTTAAATATTAAGCCGAGCAACTAATTATTAAGTAAGATAGCCAATTAGAATTGCAAAATTGTAGCGTTTATGGTGATGTTAAGACACTCCATAGCTGCCGGGCTCGGTGGCTCAGCCTGTAATCCCGTGCTTTGGGAGGCTGAAGTGAGTGGATTGCATGAGCCCGCCAGGTCGAGACCTGCCTGGGCAGCTTGGCGAGACCTCATCTCTACAATAAATCAAAAAATTAGCCGGGCGTGGTCGCGCGCGCCTGTAGTTCCAGCTACTTGGGAGGCTGAGGCGGAAGGATCGCCGGAGCCCAGCAGGTCGAGGCTGCGGTGGCCGGGAGCGGCCACTGCACTCCAGTCTGGGTGACAGCAAGACTCCAACTCAAAAAGTAAAAATAAAATAAAATAAAGAAAGATTACTGAATTTTTATGAATTAGAGGTTATTTTTATCAGTTATATCTTATAGGTAAATTTTAAATGGCTTTTGAGGGGGTCTTTTACACTTTTTATCTAGAAATTCAGATTATATTTTGCTTTATTTATCACAGACATTGTTGATCTTAATCAAAGACATTTTCTGTGAAATAGACATTATTTCTATCAAAATTTTAACTTTCAGTTCTCATAAATAGATTCTTGAAAACAGTTTGGTTTAAAATAACCTTAATGCTGGATTTTTTTGGTTTTTGTTTTTACAGATTAGAAAATGCCTTTTATGAACATGCACAGACTTATTATTACACAGAGATCAGAAGAGTGAAATCTCATAAAGAATTTTTGAATAAAACAACACATCAGGTACATGATTTTTGCATGATAATAGAAGCATTCTAGAGTAGGTTATTTATTATTGATTGTTTTTGAGGTGATTATCACGTCTTTAATACCTTGATGTTTTAAATAGCTTCAGTATTTCCAAAGTTTTTTGTAAAGCTTTTAAAAACTGATTTGTTTTTAAATTAAACTGCTTGCCTTTAAGATTTGTTTTTGGGGGGAGGGGGATGGGATTAACAGTAGCAAATATCTATCGGGGAATGGGAAAACACCTCTTATCAACAGGATGCTTGAATGAAACGTAATTGTACACCTAACCCTTAACT